GCCGGCTTGAGCCTGACGGGCCGCTCTGCCCGCGGGTCCCAGCGATGACACCACTGCCGCGTCCTTGTCCTCGTCCTTGTCTTGAAGTGGAGCAGCACGTTTTCATATAAACATCCTTTTTCTTGGCAGTGGAAACGATGAATAGAGCTCTTCTAGGGAAATCTGTAAAGCCCACAGTGCCGGTTAACCTCGGCACGGGCTCTGCGTGGTACGCCGTGCCCGGACCAGAGGTCTGCCTGATGCTACGGTTACCTACGCTATTCCCTGTTTCCTTCCAGTGTTATCTCCAGCTATTGGTATTTCAATGGCTACCTTATGGAGCTGAGGGCCTTTCTTACTGAAGTCTATGAAGAGCGCTTGTGCTGGCGTGGCTGGCAGAGCCCCCGTGAGAAATGGCTTTTTGGGAAAGGAGAGGGAGGCAAGGACAGGACGGGTGTCCAGCTGTGGACAGCGTTTGGGCCGAGTGACCACCCTGTGAGCTGGCAAACAGGGACAGAGCAATCCGGGTGGCCCATCTCAGCTGAAATATTAACTTGTCTCCAAAAGGAAAAGGAAAGGGTGGTAAAAAACCCCCAGCAGAATTTACATTGTAGTTGGCTGTTGTTAACACGCTTTCCAGAGAGCGGTGGGAAGTTTTGAGCAGGCAGAGAGTTACAAAAGACTGTGAGATCTGGAAGAGCAGGCGCGGGTACCCCAGCAGCAAGAGCTGATGAAAGAGCCGTTAGCGGCAGGTACAAGGCTGCGGCTGGGATCCTGCAACGCGGGACCACAAGCTGTGAACCAGCAACAGGGACCCTGGGCAACTTTTCACACTGTCTCTGTGCGAGAGAGGGAGAATCACCGACCATGGCTGAAACCTACTGGCAAAAAGCAGGGGAGAAAATAGGGCAATGGCTCTAGAACAGAATTGCTGTTTTCAGTAATGTTGTTTTTAAACAAACATGTAACTAACAGAATGAATCTAGAAATCAGAATAAAGGTAGCGTTAAAGGAAGAAGGTGTAGATAAGTATTAGACGATACTCAGACCTGTCTGATAACCAACCTTAACAGCTGTAGTCTAGCAAATCTGAGTTAACCCTGTATGACACATGACCCTAAGGCACTAACACCTTTCTTTTAAAGGAAAGAGAAGATGGTAAGTGCCTATGCATAAATATACCAACTGCTGATTTAAGGTGAAGTGTAGAGTTTGTCTGTTTATTATGGAGCAAATCGAGGGAGATGGAAAAATGGAAGGGGAGGGAAAGGTGAGCCAGTATATTGGGTGCTCCTATGAAAGAAAATACTCCAGTTCTGTGAACAAAGATTACTAAAGAAAAGCTTTTGTTCATCTTATTTTCAATAGGTAACAGAGGAACTGAGTATCCCCCAAACTTCTAGAGTCTTACCACCTCAATGCCATTCATCCTCCAGGACTTCGGCAGAGCCCCACCGCCTGCTCCAGGTTGCTGGAGGGGACGGACGGTTCCCACACCGTGGCAGCGCAGCTGAGGGCATCCAGAGTTTGCCATTAACTTTGTCCTAATCGTTTTTGTCCTGCCTTTCATCTTACTCCCCCCTTCACTTCCCTTGGATTCACTTCAGTTGATTTGTATTTACACAGACATCTTATATTACTCAGAGGATACCTCTGCTCCTCTCAGTAATGTAAGGGGGTTGAAGGATACTTGCTCCTTTGAAACAGCAGTAGCGTCTGTTCTGCTGACCCTGGGGCACGGTGGTGCTCTTTGTATAGGCGATGAATAAATACCTGGCCCTACGCTGCCAGTGGCGGTCAGTCCCGTTCCCACAAGCTTTGGTTCCATGGTATGTTCAATACGGGCTAATAATAAACCTAAACTTCCTTCCCTCTCAGGCTGACAGCTCTGAAACAGGTGCCAGGCTAACCTTCGCATTTCAGTTCTTTCTGAACCGGCAGCAACTGCATGATGAGATGCCCCAGAGAGCGTTACAGCTCTCTCTTCTAGAAAATTCAAGTAAACAGGTTTGGGAAGTATTGGCACACACAGGAATGCACGCACAAAGAATGTACAAGAAACACAGTAATGGTTTTGTAAGTCTTGAGTTTAATTACTTCAGCATGTGGGTTTTTCTTGCTATTTGGCCTTCCCCTTTCCATTGCAATCTTTGTTAGGACACTTGCATAAACAAACACTTTTCCTAGAACAGTTCATAAACCAGACACAGATGCACCAGTTTTTATTTGCAGTTTTCTTAAGCCTTGGTTTCTTAACTTCTTAAGAGAGAAAGTGTATTAAAACCTATTATGCAATCAGATCAAATATCTGATGGTGAGATGCACTGAGATCAGAGGACTCCAGGATGGAAGAACATGACAGTAATGTATAACAGGAACTACACTTCAGTCACTTCCTGAACAGCTTAGAATTGCAGAAGATCAGCCTCTCAGAGAACATCATTGTCTGCACTGTGTTGTCAAAACAGCACAGAAGAAAACTCTGGTTTTTTACTGTTTCACTCTTGGCAAAATTGAGGCCTTTGGGAAGAAATAAAAAAACCAAAACCACAAAACAAACAAACAAAAAACCCCAGAACCCAGGACAGATACGCAATTCACTCATTTCTCCCTCTCCCTTTAGCTCACAAAAACTTGAGACTATTCAGCCCTTTGTCTCAAGGAGTAAGCAAAAGAAAGGCTAGAAAAGGCTAGAATAAGACGTACTTCACAAAAGGCAATTCAAAAGATACAAACGTGAAGGGTCACGGGGTAAAGAACAGTTACAGAAGCACGGGGATAAAATGACACTGTGAAGGCACTGCACACGTACACGCACTCGGTAGCAAGATCCTCCTCTGAAACTCAAAAGATTTGACAACAAAGCACAAATCCAACAAAGTAAGGCCAGCACAGATACAATGCATTATTATCTAGTAGGCTTCAGAATATCAAATTACCTTCGACTCTTGAATATAAAAGAACTCAAAACTTAGTAGTTCAGGAAGTTCAGAGAGAACAAAGCCTCTAGGTAGCCTGAATCCCTAAAACTGAAAAAAATTTCAAGTAATTGCGCTGGAAGGAAATATCACGTGTTATTATACAACTGGTTTTCCACCTGCCTCCAGGCCTCTTCCAGCCTCAACAGTTTTGTAGCACTACAGCAAATTTCAGGTTTGTGTGGGCTCTGGTGGTAGCCTGCTACAAACTGGGTATCAGTGAAGGAGAACTCGCTGTTCCACTGGCAGCGGGGCTGATGTCTACATTACAGCTGCTCAAAGTGGTCCAGAAAACAGCGAAGAAAGGAATTTGGGGGAAAGATTTTTTTTTGATTGAGCAGACACCAGTTTTTGTCATTCGCTGTCAAAGGACTCAAATGCATCTAGTTACTTTAGCTTGAAGATTCCACAAACAGAAAATGCAGGAAGAAGTCCAGTGTTTATATAGGGTCAGGTAAACAAGTAGCTACTGCAAGCAGATGAGCAATCTTAATGTGATGTCCTGTGTCAACGCAAGTTACCCCGTGACTCCTTTTTCCTCTCTCATTTTGAGGGCAGCTGCTGGACTTTGCTGGATGTGAATCAGTTCTACTCAAAATTTCTGAGGACACACGACCTGTGAGCAAGGTGCAAGTTACCCTAGAAGAACTGCCATGCAATGTGCATGAGAAATCAGCATTATGCAGGGTGGCAAGCACTTCCTACCACAACACCTACAATCCGTGGCAATGGATGTGTGTTAGCATGTTAAAAAGTAATATTCCACAGTTAAAATGTAATTTTCCATAGGAAAAATGTTCCCTGTACCTAGGAGCAAATCTAGGAGTACGAAAGTGATCTAAGCAGATGCAAACAATTGTAGCCACAAACTATCAAATAATATCTCAAATTAAAAACAAAATTTTTTAAAAAAATCTTAATTCCAAACAGTAGACAAGCCACTTACTGAAACAGGCTCTCAGAAAGAGTAAAACCCATGTTTAAAATATTACACACCACATTACTATCCAGCTAATTAAAAAAGCCAAAATAACAACACCACCAACAAAACCCAGCCAAACTTTACAAACAGGATACAAACAGATTTCCTCTTGCAATAAGGATATAGGATAAAAAGTTACGGAATACGTTGCGGTATGTTTACAGGGAGGTTGTTCTTCCCCTCTGCCCAGTACCCTTCATTCCCACCAGCTCTTGTTTTGAGCTTGTTTTCAGTTTTTCCAGATGTGCTCACTGCTTGTGGAAAGAGAACTTTCTTGTGTCTACACGGAATATGACACCAAGGAAGCAGGTGAGGAGAGAGGTGAAACTTCTTGCTGACCCATTTCTTCGTGGTCTCTTTCACATCACTAAACCAGTTCAAGAAGTTTCTATCTCAGAGGCCTCTTCTATGAAGTTAGCAACAGGACTGAGGAGCAAGAGTGGAAACAGTTTATACTCTCCATTCCCATCTTCCGAGAGGAGAGGTGGATCACCCATTCCCAGAGCATCCGGAGGCTCAGCCTGGCTTGCTGGAGCTGCTAGCGGCAAGACAGTTCCACTACCTGATGGAGGATGAAGAGCAGGTTTCTCCTCCAGGGAAGGCAGCAGAAGGTCTTTCGGATCCTCTATCTTCCCTGCAGCTTCACTTGAAGGTAGTTCTTCAAATAATGAAAGCAGAGGATTGGCCCTGTACTGTATCAGCTGCATATCTGAGGGAAAACAGACAGTTTAAACTCCAGGCTCCTGTGTCACAGAAGCTAAGGCTCTTATTCAAGACAATGAAAACTGGAGAGGCTGCTTCAAAACTTGGTTCACTAAAGAAAACCATACAGCTGAGCTCTGACAGACTATATCCACAGTTGCAAGAGGGCAGCTAAGGCTCTCGTGTCTGTTAAGATCAATACCTGAAGCATACTTCAAGCCCCTAATGCATACGGCATGCAATGGCAGCGCTGAAGCAGTAATATGAGTAGCACTGCATTTGTGGGGGTCGTAGCCCATACAGGAGATACTTCCACAAAGACATTTGCAGTTTTGATCCCTATTGTGGCACTCTATCATGTATAAGAAAAAGGAAATGGTTAACACCAACATGGGGCATAGGATGGGGCCACTTAAGATTGAGGCACAGCTTCATCAAGATCAGTGAAACATGCCAGTCTTCACAAAAATTTTAAGCCCACACCAAAGAAGGAGATAAACGCTATTACAGGCTACAAAAATTCCATTTCAGTAGAGTTTTGGAAGAGTTTGGAACTGTCACAGCTCTCAGCGTTCCTTCCTTCCCACCTTTGCTTCCTGCTGTTTCTCTCTCAGTTGCTCCCAGATCTTCAGTGCTCTCTGCCAAGTTTGCAATCTGAAGCAAAATGGACAGAGAATAAGACAGAATGCTTAATGACAACAACATCCAAGTCTTCGTGACTGGTTAACAAAATGAAAGGTGAAAGCAGGAGGCAGGAGAAATGAAACGGTTGACCAACGAGCCCGTTGTTGCACAGGAGGGACAGCAAACAGGAATACTCAGAAGAAGCCATGGTGAAACACAGACAAACTTCACTTAAAGCCAAAGAAGCTTCTGGCTAGCAAATATTTATACCTTCCAAACCAGAAGCTTTCTTATAGTCTGTCTTGTTGGAGTAAGACTGTTAAACATGGTTTCATCAATATAATTAAATTTTGCAAGCACTGCTTGAACACAGCTGCATTTTGGCTCAATTGTGGGAGGTGACTGGGAAGTCTTAGCCTAAATATTATTTCAGGACTACAAAATAAATTACACTTGCAAGGGTTGTTTTTTTTTTTTAAGATGAGTCAATTTTAGGGACCAGACCAAGAGAAGTAAATTTGCACTGAACTTTTGTACGTCCTCTGAGGAAATTCCATACAGCCATGTTCAGAATAAATACAGTAGATTGAATTATATTTTTCATTTAGTACTTTTCCTTCCACCCTCAGACAGACTGAAGACACAATCTCATCTGAACTATAACCACAGACCTAGTTATTACTTGGCTAAAAGACATCATGGGAATCCCTGAGGCTAAGAGAAATAAGCCAAGAAACTGTTCTCACACACTTAGACCAAAAAAAGACAAGATATTGTAGCCTCCTCATTCCAAACAGAAGGTACAGAAGTAATAGATAGGAATAAAAAAAATTCCTCAATACAGACAGCTGATTCAACAGACACCAGTTTGTTTCCCTCTTCCTTATGTTCTCAGGTGTATTCAGAAAGCAAAGAACATGTTATTCAAAGCGAAGTGGCCTTTTGATCAGTTCACTGATTGCATTACTGCAGCTGAGAACGTAAGACTTGAAATTACCTTGAGAACCCTCTTAAATTCATATATGCCAACAGTGATAACTGAAAACATTAAATCAGCGGGACTAGATAAAATGGCGGTTTCATCCTGTGCCATCAACCCAGTCCTTACCCTCAAACTGCATCAGTCAAAATTTAGCTCTCAACATCATGTTAACCCTCCCCATCATAGAAGCAAATCTTACTCTTACATTTTCCATACACGGGGAATTTTCCATCAAGCTCATATCCAGGGCTGGCAGCTCAGGATTAAGTGTCTGAAAATAAAGCCAGACCATATGTTACATAATAAGGTTTTTAAAACAAAACTTCAGCGAGCTCCTGAAAGGACAGCAGGATCCAGCACACCACTCCATCCACTGCAGCACAGGGAAGGTGGCTCCTCCACTGCCCTACAGCAATATACTTCCAACCTGTGGCAGTAAACTGAGGTCACAGGAGGAGAAAAGGACATCGTATCTCCCAGTGATTCCAGGTATATGGCCAAGTTGCATTTCATATCATAACGCATAATCAAACGCGCAATCAGGATGTGATGATATGCGACAAAGGCTTGAGAAGGAGAACCGAGTCCAATTTTTTCCTCCTCTCCTCTCTCCGCCCCCCTTCGCCCGTTACACGTAACAGAAATACTATATGAACTGAAAAAGCTCTCAATGTTACCTTGTACATTGTTAGACTCCTAGAATGCCTATGTATGATTCTATCCACAACTATTTGCTTTTCAGGATTTTCCCCCCTCTTGCCCATTACAACATGGAATAAACCAGTAAAATTTCATTATACAACCTAATCAGTATTTGTCAGAAATCAGAAAAAGTGAAGAGACACTCACATCACTGAAAGCTTCAGAACCAAAGTTATACTGCTTCCCAGATAGCATTGCTTGAAGTTCTTCAAGGCTGGCATCGATGCAATTGAGAAAATCCTGAATTTCTTCTCTAAAAAGACAAAGTGATATAGTACTGTAAGAAACAGTCGGCAGTTAGGGCCTTGTTTTGCACCAGAAGGCAGGTTGCTCACAAACCAGAACAGCTTATTGCCAAATGAATGAAACTGTGTTCCTTGTCACGGTCCAACCCTTTGAAGGACAGGTACAAGGAAGACTGTCTGAACAGCAAGTTTAATAATATCAAAAAGCAGTTCCTCCTTCTGTACCTACTTCCTCCTTCATTTCAGTATCTTTTGAATGTTCTCACCTCCCAGCCAATATACCAATATCTGCTTAAACTAAGGGCTGGTGGCTTTCACCTGGGGACAATAAATGATAAGCAAAGGGCTGGAAATGATCTGGATCCCGAAGGAACACTACCCACTTTGAATCATGAGATTGTTGCCGGATTGTACGCATTTCCAAGGACAGAGGGCAGGACACAAGGGACAGCGGAGGAAGCGGAAAGGAAGCCGCACGCACGGCACCAGTACGGAACCTCTCACCGTGCTGCAGGCTGCCTCTTGTGCTGGAACACTTGGCTACCAGCGAGAGACAGCCCCAGGGCACTGCTCCACGTCTGCAGCGCCCGTGAGGTGAGACAGAACAGGGCCTTCAGATTACGCTGACTGCTGCGACGCACCACCTCGCACTTCCTATCTGAAGCTAATAGAGCGGTCAGGAGAAAGAACTAACGTTAGTTCCTTGATCCAGCTCGCCCTGCAGCCGCACAGACGACGGCACTGACAGAGCTCAGGGGCCCGTGCAGAACTGGGAAGTGCTGAAGCAGCAGCGCTGCTGGGGGTGAGCCCGCAGCCTGCGCGACTTTGATCCCAGGTGTGAGTCTGGTCTGACAATGCACAAGGGAAACGAACCTTTGCACAAATGAGGGGCAAAGAAAGGAAGCGACAGCGAAACAACGTCAGGCCGCCGCGGATACAAACCCGTATCCAGTTCTCAGAAACAAAGCAGGACATGGCGCCCTCCTGAAATCACAACCCTTGATCTGCTGTTCAGCAGCACTTGGCAGCAGTTGGCGCCACAAGGGCTGATGTAACAGACTGACCTCGCTGACACATCAGAAGACAGGCACGCTCATTATCAGAGACATAACAGATGAACTTGCCCTGCTTTTAGCGTATGATGCTAACGTTTTTGAAGACCTAGTAATAAAGGGGCATAAATTCAGTTCAGCAATGACATTTGAAAAGCTAATTCACGATGTTCTGCTAAACAAATCCTCCAAAACTTTGACAAGATCTCACAAGATGACGACAGCATAGCAGTTCCCAGAAACAAGTTAATACCTGTCCAGCAAGGGATCGTTTTGGTTTCCAGAGTTGTTCTCGTTCAGGATGGAGTCAATCACCGACACGGGGTCGTCTGGAGCATTAGGTTGTGCAGTATGGAGTTCCACAGCAACATTTCCTATTTCACTGGATTTGTTGGCATCATTTATAAGAACTGGTGGGATTGGTTCTGCACAATTTAATTCATCGGGCGGCGATACTTGACAAAGAGGTAACCCAGGATCCAGCGCTGCCTGTGTCTCTCTAAAACGTGTCCCAAAGAGAAACAACACACAGGAGAATTCACCAGCTGTATTGCCACTCATTGCAAGTTTAGTATCTCAAATCTTAATACCTAATAAGGTCATGCCAGTCAAGGGTTCCAATAACCGACTGGTCTTTAGAAAAAGAAGTGCCTTCCTAAAGGCCGATGAAAAATCTCTTACGACAGCTTATACAGATAGCACCTATCAGAGCAAAACACCCCATTTTGCCAGACCAAAGGTGGCACAATAGTACATGGACACCAGGCAGGAGGGAAACTCATAACGTAGTGTCTCAGGAAATAAAGGATTCCAAACTGGTGCCTATTTCACTCTGGATGCTAACAACTAAATGGGTTTTCACAAGAATCTAAGGCCACACAAAAGAAAGCCTTCCCTTCAGTCACACTTAGCACAGTATTAGGAAGAACAGTACTGAAACTAAAGATAAAACTATAAATCTTGGTTTGTTTATTAGTAACCTACACACATTTTGGTTTGTTTATTAGTAAACTATACATACATTCAGGTCCCTGCTCAGTCAAAAAGTTTGTTAAGTATGTGCTTATTTGTTGATTAGACAGAAAAGCCTCAGCAAATTAAACTTCAAGTGTCAACCAGCTTGATAGGCCTTCAGGCGTTCCTGAAGAGACACGAGCTCTTAAAAAGCTTTGCTGACCATGACCAATGCTACATGCTGTAAAAAAGTCAGCCTACAAACAGGCCTGTCATGCCAAAACAGAGTCAAAAATTCAGAGGGGCTGTTTCCCAGAATTCACATGGATGACTTACATTAACACAACTACCTAGTTAACAACCTAAGCATAAATACTTCCGCATCTTCTGTAACTGTACCTGGCTCTGCCACTGGTGTGTGCCACAGCAAGGAGACCATCGGTGGCATTTTCCAGGGTATCGGTGATATCTCGAATGATGAGACCCGTACCATTTCCATCCTCATCATCTGCATTATGTTCAGAAAAAGCCATCTGCAGGATACAGCAAACTGAATGAGTAAAGCAAAAGGTCTGACTTCTTTTTGACGTTGAAGCTCCATTCTTTCTGCAGCTTCTATTTCCTGTTCAGACTTTATCTATGACTAGATTTGCATGATTTTACATAGCAATGCTTTAAAGCTGCCCATTTCAAAATGGAGTGCATTTTTTGTAAGATTAGAGTATTAACAGTTGTAAGGAAGACTGTGAGGTCACTGTACGTATCATCCT